TTGTCGGCGATGAAGGGGACCCCCTGATATGTGTGTTGGAGAAACTACTCTTAGCCCCAAGACAGCAAGGAGATTCTCAATGACATGCCATTTTTAAAACGAAATGTACCATTGGCGGCAAGGTTTGTGATTTACTCATCGACAGCGGTTGCACGGAAAATGTCGTTTCGCGGGCTGTTGTTCAAGCTTTGCAACTCAAGACTACGAAGAACCCGCATCCCTACAAGATCGGATGGGTTAAGAAGGGAATGGAGATCTTAGTGACAGATATGTGCCAGGTACAATTCTCGATCGGAAAACATTATAGCTGTGAAGTGTTATGTGATGTGGTGGAGATGGACGTGTGTCATTTAATTCTTGGCCGCCCGTGGCAGTTCGATGTAGGTGCTATATATGATGGCCGAGCCAATACGTATGCACTAGACTGGAAAGGGAAGCGGCTCATATTTTTACCTCATGCTGCGGGTGCTAAAGGCTCCCCTGATAATGTTCGGCCGGCATTACATTTAGTCTCGGGCAGCTCCTTATTAGCTCATTGGAAGGAGGAAGTGCCACTGTACGCCTTGGTGATCAAGGAAGAGGCTGCCGATAGCACAGTTGGAATTGATCAGCCTGCCCTTGAGTCTCTGCTGACGCAGTTCCGAGATGTTCTGACTGAATCTTCAACTCCCACATTACGGCCTTTGAGGACCATACATCATCAAATTGATTTTATTCCAGGCTCTACACTACCAAACCTTCCACATCATCGCTTAAGTCCGAAAGAGCATCAAATTCTCCAGCAGTTAGTTGATGAGTTGCTGAAAAATAACTTGATCCAACCCAGTCTCAGTCCGTGCGCTATACCCGCACTCTTGGTGCCCAAGAAGGATGGAAGTTGGCGATTATGTGTTGACAGCAGAGCCATTAACAAAATCACTGTCAAGTTTCGGTTCCCTGTACCGCAGATTGAAGAACTGTTGGAGAAGTTGGCAGGAGCGACTATTTTCTCAAAATTGGATCTCCGTAGTGGCTACAACCAAATTCGCATCCGACCGAGTGACGAGTGGAAGACGGCCTTCAAGACTCGCCATGGGTTATACGAGTGGAAGGTGATGCCATTCGGATTGTGCAACGCGCCTTCGACTTTCCTTCGGTTGATGAATGAAGTCTTAAAGCCATTCCTTAACATTTCCTGCGTTGCATATTTCGACGACA